TAATATATATATATATATATATATATATATATATATATATATATCAATGTACACTAAATTTTCTCATTTTTATTATATTATTTTATTATTTATACACTAAAATTTCTACATTATATCGATAGGCAATAAACCAGTTACCCAAATAATAATCTGTTATCATTTCGTCATTTATTAAATACAAATAGCTATTTAGTAATTTAATTTGTTACCTGTCAGTGTAAATATTTCGTAAAAAACTTTTGTATAAACATCATTTTCATCTATCACAAGGTGACAATTTAGAAAAGGCATGTGATGTGAGTATAGACATAAGCATATAACATTTGGTTACATTGGTAAAATTGTGTAGCACATGCAGTAACTAACATACCATGTCACTCACTGTAAATTAGAGTAATAGCCCTTAGCATGTGTGTAATGAATAATGATGTATTATTATAGTACATACATACTATGAGACGATGGGTGGATTAAACGAGTTAGAGTTACAGGTATCAAACTGGTTCATTAATGCGAGGGTTCGATTGTGGAAACCGATGGTGGAAGACATGTACCAACAAGAGCTAAAAGAAGCCGAAGGAACAGAAGAAGAGAGAGAAAGGAACCAAAGCAGCAGCAACAACAGTAGCCACCAAGGGGCACAAACCCCAACGATCTCAACCACCGCATCGACCGCGACAGCACCACCACCTCCGACAACAACATCCACACCACCTACAGGCAAAAGATCCGATTCTGAAAGGGACCCTTCACTTGCACCAATAAATAATAATAATAATAATAATAATAATAACAATAACACCAATAGGTCTGGCTTCTCGGAAACTCAACCCAACTCTTCCAGCACCGCCACCGCCTCTGAGGTGGTGCCACCGTCAGAGCTGCGGCCCATGGTTGCCGGTGAACCTTGCCGGCATGATAGCTTGGTCACGACGGAGTTTGGGACCGGTTCTGGTGCTTCTGACATTGGTTCCACTCTGATTAGGTTTGGGACCACCACAGGCGATGTGTCACTCACGCTAGGGCTACGTCACGCCGGGAACATGCCGGAGAAAACTCCGTTCTCTGTTAGGGGCTTTGGATCGATTTAAACTTAATTCCCTTATATTACTTTTTCACATGACATGATGATAAAGATAATAATATTCATACGTATAGGAGGTTGCTTTGTTACTATTATTATGATTATTATTATTATAATATGATTATTATGATATGGTATATCAACAGAAACCATTTTTCCACCTCTGTAATTTCTCTCTCGTGTTGGTTCTTTCTCTTTAATTTGCATTTTGTGAAGGAAATGTGAGGAGGGAAAACAAAACGTAGGCATGAATGTGATTAATTACCAGCTGGCTAGGTAGGCTGTGTGATAATCAAGTGTAACTGTATAGTAAGTTGTTTTCTACGCTTTTTTTTTTAATCACATGTAAGGTTTTGTATCTTGATATTTGATATAATTCGATCTAATTAATAGAATAATATATGCTCATGCTTATTCTCATTCTCATATATGCGCATTAAATATGATATATTATTTATTATAGATTTAATTTAACATTTTTAAAAGTCTAGTATAACATATTAACATATTGAAAAATATATTCTATATTAATGATGTTAAATAAGTTAATAAATTTAATTTTAAATATGTGAATAAATTTATTTTTAAATACATATGTAAATAATTTTTTAATTTATATGATAAAAAAATAATTTATTATATTATTATTAAATTTAGAATTTAAAATAATTGTATTAAAATGAACAACTCATACATACATACTAGCATAAACACACGTACAAAATATGATGAAAGAAATAATTTTATAAAAAAATATTTTATTATAAAAATAAACATAAAATTATAAACTATAATATAAAAGCTTTAGAGAGAAAGGAGACAAAACAATATAAGAACGAGAATGAAGAGTTTTTTTATATATTATTTTTAATCATGAAATAACTTATTTATGACATAAATGGTTACAAATAAAATAATTGTATTAAAATGAAATGTAAAAGGTAACATTGGACAACTACTATTAAATATTTATAAAATTTTTAAATATTTTTTATATCTCATATAGAATATTCTAAATAATCAATTATAAAGATAAAGAACAAAGGAAAGGAAGCAAATATGTGATGGCTAGTGCTTCTATTTTCGATTTCTTGATTTTGTAATAAATGTAAAACGTTTAAGTGTAATAATTTGGTTTAAGTTATTAATAAACTATTTATTTAATTATATTGTTAAAAATGATATATATATATATATATTATTTATTATTATATATCATATAGATGAATAAATTGATCTATCAAATTTTTATGTAAATCTAGGTTTAACCTTTTTAAATAAATAATTTTTTAAAAATTTAAACATAATTTTTTTTATTAAATATGTGAAGTTAGGCTAAACTTTAAATAAACTAGGTTGTAGATATATATTTAAGATTTGGATTATTTTCATCTTTACTCTTATTCTATTTATGTACTTGATATTTTGTAACATAATTTGATTTGATAAGAATTGACCTAAGTAATTTATATAAATTTTTTAATGATGTGTTTCAATTAGAAAATTAAAAATTAAAAAAAATAAGAAGAATAAAAGTAACATAAAAATCAAATTCAATAATAATAATACACAAAAAAAAGGATAAATAAGACAGCTGTACATGCTAATTTGAATAAGATAATCACAACTGATTTTTATTAATTAAGGTGATTAAAAATTTCAAGTTAATAATTGTAAAAAAAAATTAAATTAATATAATCATATTTTTGATAGCTAATGAAATTATATTATTTTAAATTAATTAGGATAATTATTATAAATATATTCTTAACTTTTTCTTACTTTTTTGCCACCTTTTGCATGTTACATTTTTCAATATTTCTACAAAGTTTCACCGTTAGTTAATAAAATAAATGAGAGATTATTTTTATATACATTTTTTCATATCTTTTGTGTATTTCTGTTTCAACATTTTTTCGACTCACCGATTATCCCCTTACAAAATACTTCTATTTCTTTTCTTCTTCTTCTTCTTTTCAATGCTTTGCAAACCTTATTGATTTGCATTTTACGACCTCATTTTTTTTAAAGTTGAAATGTTGACAATAAAAATAGAGAAAAAATTATAAATATTACTGTTATTTACTAATTTTTAAAGTTTTGTATTATTTTCTTTTCAAAGTTCGTGTTATATCAATTTGCATTGTTAATACTTTATATTTGTGATTTTTTATTTTATTTACTTTCCATGCTAATTTATTGTGCATCTAATTTTTTTATTTAATAGGTATATTGACATCTTTGAACATTTGAAAAAGGTATATAATTTTTTATACCAATATATTATTTTAATTTGTTTTATATGCTTTTTTCTATTCGATTTTTTGTGGGTTCTGTTTTTCAACCACACCATAGAGTTGAGTTGTTTGGGGTAGTCGAAAAATAGTTTCATACGTCAACCCTTACTATCTAAAGTCAAGCGAAGCTAAGAACCTTGATTGGAGCGGACTCTTCTTCATCTCCTTTCTTGCTAGTTAGAGATTGTCTCTAGGGTAAGGGATAATTGACCTTTGTTGATCTTAGGTTTTGCTTTCAAGAAAGGATTGCATGTTGTTAATTTGGTGAAGGGGTGTTGGAAATAGGAAAATATATGGTTGATTTTGTGATGTGAAGGTTGAATATGATATTTTCGTAACTTCATGAATTTTTGTCTTTGATAATCCTTGAATTGAAATTGTAGTAGTTTGTGTAGTTGAGATGCATGTGGTTATGTACTATTGTTGTTTATCCTTGATGTCCCTATCTTTGCCATGCATGTTGGTACATTTTGGTTACTTGTTGAATTAGGGGAAAAAGTTTGATTTTCCCATGTTTGAGTTGGTGATTTCAATTGATGAGTTATTGATTATGAGAGTTGCATTACCTATTCTGTTGAAAATTTTTCTAATATATTTGTAGTTGTTTGATGTTGGAATGATGTTGAGATATGATGAACTTCCCTTTTGTTCATCTTTTAGTTTTCACACGTTTGATTTGTTGGGTGTGAGAGATGTGTTTTATATATGTAGATAGAAAACTTAGATGTTCATAACTACTAAGGTGAAGGATGAAGTTATGATGGGTTAAATGCCTCACTGATTGTGTGATTGAACTTGGATGTGTCGGTGAGTTGGGAAATTAGAAGAACTTTCCATTGTGTTTTGTTTGATTATATGTGTAAGGTACTTAAGAGGGAAGTGTGTTGGGGTTAGTTGGGGAAAATCTTGGTGGAAATCCCCATTGGTGGTCCTTGGGTTGAGTTCTAGCAAAAAGGATTTAAGCGAATTTAGAAAGGCTCAATAGAATTTTGCACAACTTAGTCTCCCTTATTTTTAAAAGTATATAGATGTATGTTCTTTCTAATTAAATAATTGATTGAAGGTGAGTATAAATACAATTGTGAAGAGTGGTGTATGGTGCTTGTTAGGTGGATTTATAATTAGAGGAGCTTTCTTGAATTAAAAATGATTAGTTTTAAAGAGTTAATAATGTTGAGTTGTCTCATTTAATTGTCATGATGTTTGATATGATTGGTAAGAGTGGTGTAGGATGTAATCTTGTGCATGTGTGTGTGTGTTGGATGAATTCCATTTTAGGTATGTTTGGTTTTGAAAGATGGTAATTGTGTGGTGATTAGTTTCAATGTATACCTTGAGTATATAAAACTTTAAATGAAATGTTGACAATAGAGTTGAATGGATGTATATGAGGTTGATAATGAATGTTGTCTTGAAGTTAATATAAGGATGTTGAATTCCATGTTTTATAAAAGTTGAATTACATGAAAAAAAATTAGCTTCAGTTGGAAGCAAGTTGTTGAAAATACTTTTAAATTGTGAGATACCATATTGTGGAACTATGTTTTAGAGTTTGGAGCTTGAAACCCCTTCAATTAGGAGTTGTCTTCTAAAGTGAGATTTTGTTTTTAAAACAAAATTTGTTGCCTTTAATATTTTGTTGAAAGCAATATGAATCCAGTTGGTCCATACTTGACATAAGGCTAAGAGTTGGCATTAGGAACAAAGCCAAAAATTTGGCTTGAAGAGCCAATAATTTTTTAACACTTATATACAAATACTTTAACATCATAAATAGTTCATTAATATTTATATTTTTTTTTCTCTCTTTCTATCACATTATATATTAATTATACATATATTTCTGTCTTTTTTTTCCTATCTGCAAATTAACATGACAATTCTAATTCTATCAATTTATAATATTTTTTTATAAATTTTAAGGGATCATAAAAATAATTTTATAGTAATTTTGATGCATTTTTGGAAAATGGAGGAAACCATGGACCTTCTAGGTCCCCCTTCCCTTCATCCCTAATTGGCATGTAAGTTGGGAATTGCAAACAGTTTTCAACTTAGTGTAGGACGAGTGTGTTCTATCTTATAGGATAGAAAATAAGTTAATTTCATTGGAGGCTTGATCAATGCATACAATGTCTTGGTGGGATCCATACCCAACATTATTATAACTAGTGTTGGCTCAAAACATTTTGGGGTTTATATTGGCAATGCCTGAGTAACCATAGTTGATATTGGTTTAGTAAGGTTTGCATTGAATAAACAACTCATTGTAGGAAATCTTCAAGTTGTTGCATGCAAGACAACACATAATCAAAATATGAATATGAAGGGGGATCAAAAGGCCTAGAAAAGGTTTTTTCTGTGAAGGGATGGGTTTTCCAATCAAGGTAAGAGAGAACCTTGATAATTTTTAATTTTGAATAGTTTATGATAGATGGATCTCGGGAATCTGCTACAGGAGTTATTTCAACAGAACCGGTATCTATTAAAATAAATTGATAAAATTTTTTGCTTTTCTTTAGATTTTTAGTTTTTGGAATCCAACTCCACTTAGGAGGAGCCAGACTCTGCACAATTTTCCATGGATCTTCTTCAGTCCAGTGATTCTCAAGAGTAACCACATGTTCACAATATTCTAAGATATGGAATTCTTTAGGAATATTTTTGGTGGTAGAAGTAGTGGCTTTTTCTGGGGTTTTTGGCATA